TCAATTATTTCCAAGTCAAATTCAACCTTTTCCAGATCAAATTAAACTTTTTCCAAGTCAAATTCAACCATTTCCATTTCAAATTAAACCTTTTCCAATTCAAATTCAACCGTTTTCATTTCAAATTAATGTTTTAATTTTTTGTAAATTTTATATTTTTTTTTAAATAATGGCCATCCCCTCCCCCCCTCCAATATGAAAGTCTATTATTATGCTCTCCTAAGTAGAATTTTCACTTACGGATATCGATTTATTGTACCTATTCGGATTTATTAGGGACTAGTATTATGCTGTCCTGTACCTAGTTTTGAAAATAACCTCCATTTTAAGATTGTGACTGCGTTTCGAATCATTTAAGTTTTTTTGACTTATTCGATATATGGGTGTATTTTTATGTTTCCCGATCAGTAAATTTTGAAAATGACATCCATTTTATGTTTACGCCACTGTGTTTTGACTTATTTAAGTTTTTAGAATTTATCCAATATAAAGGTCTACTTTTTGTTTCCGGAGCCGTAGATTTTGAAAACGACCTCCATTTTAAGATTAGGCCACCGCGTTTCGAATTATTTAAGTTTTTTTGATTTTTTCATATAAGGGTGTATTCTTATGTTTCCGAGCAGTAGATTTTGAAAATGACCTCCATTTTAAGATTACGCCACCGTGTTTCGATTTATTTAAGTTTTTCGAATTTTATCCAATATAAAGGTCTACTTTTATGTTTCCGGAGCCGTAGATTTTGAAAACAACCTCCATTTTAAGATTACGCCACTGCGTTTCGACTTATTCAAGTTTTTCGAATTTATCCAATTTAAAGGTCTACTTTTATGATGCCGGAGCCTTAGTTTTTAAAACGACTTACATTTTAAGATTAGGCCACTGTGTTTCGGTTTTTTTAAGTGTTTTTGATTTTTCCTTCGAATAAAAAACAAAATACGAAGGATTAATTTATTTTTCAATAAATAAATAAAAATATCTAATCAAAATAAATAAAATATGTATTGTCTCATATTTAATTTAATTTTAGTTATCTTTTTTAATGTTGTGGTCTCCTGTAACAAAATTATAAGATTTCGAACAATTAGCTGAAAAATCTGAATACGGTAGATTAAATTTATTACCAGTTGCTTTTCAGCTTTTTAGTTTGTATTCTGTGGTTAAATTAACTTTAGCTTCATAATATTTATTTATTTATTTATTCATACTCGAAAACATATTGATGAAACTTTGTATTGAAAAAATCCAAAATGAAGCCTAACTAATCGAGATGCAGCGGCTTAATCATAAAATGGAGATTAAATATTAGATAAATTTAAATATTAAAGATTATAAAAATTTCAATACCTCTCCAATAACATATAAGTAGATCCTTATACCGAAAGAGTAAAAAAAAAACTTTTATAATTCTAAACACAGTGGCATAAGCTTGAAATGGGTTCATTTAGAAAATGGGAGATAACTGCTGCTCCAGAAACATAAAAGCAGACCTTTATATTTGATAAATTCGAAAAACTTAAATAAGCTGAAACGCAGTGGCTTAATCATAAAATAGAGGTCATTTTCAGAATCTACGGTTCCGAAAACATTAAAGTAGACCTTTAAATTGGATAAATTCGAAAAACTTAAATAAGTCAAAATGCAATGGCGTAATCATGAAATGGAGGTAATTTTCAAAATCTACGGCACCGGAAACATAAAAGTAGACCTTTAAATTGGATAAATTTGAAAAACTTAAATAAGTTAACACGCAGAGGAGTAATCATAAAATGGAGGTCATTTTCAAAATCTACAGCTCAAGAAACATAAAAGTAGACCTTTATATTGGATAAATTCGAAAAACTTAAATAAGTCAAAACGCAGTGGCGTAATCTTAAAATGGAGGCCATTTTCAAAATATACGGCTCCGGAAATATAAGAGTACGCCCTTATATCGAATAAATAAAAAAACTTAAATAATTCGAAATGCAGTCACGTAATCTTAAAATGGAGGTTATTTTCAAAAACTACTCATACGATAACAGACTCACACATCGAAAAATTAAAGATAATTAAATAAATAAAAAAAGGTTGAATTTGATATGGAAAATGTTTAATTTGAAATGGAAAAGGTTGAATTTGACTTGGAAAAAGTTTAATTTGATTCGGAAAAGGTTGAATTTGACTTGGAAATGCTATATATATATACATATATATAAAATAAATGCAGGAATAGTTAGTTATTTTTGTAAAGTGACATGGAAATTGGGAAAATGAGAAAAAAAATTTAGGTTATAATCTAAGGAGGTGGAAAATGTTAGTATATGTTGTATGGATTGTTTCTTTATCTATTTTATGATTCACTGGATCATTTTTTTCCAACTTAATAAATATAGCTTCCGAAAGTAGTTTGTTTCTTTATCTATTTTATGATTCACTGGATCATTTTTTTTCCAACTTAATAAATATAGCTTCCGAAATTAGATGTTTTTAATGGTTGGGAGCTGTGACAAGAATGGATGGGTTTTCTAAATCAAAAAATTAAAGACAGAAATGTGCTACAAAATCTGAGTGGTACAATGGCATGTCGTCTACTCGCATATTACTACTCTACATAAGCTTGAATTAAATTGAAAGATCATCTAATTTCCTATTGAACCCTCGAACTATATAGCATATTGCGGTCCTTAATTTTTTTATTATTATGAATTTTGATGTCTCTCATGTCAACAGAATAGATAAATGCTATGTAATTTGTTTATAAATTCTAGTTCTCCTACGAATATATTTAAATTAGCCGAATCAATAGAATTGAAAAGATAAAAAGTGCTTAAGCTGAGTGTGGCAGATATTACAAATGAAATATGCCTTCAATTCCATGTGCTTTAACAGACTCTTATCTTCTCACATATTTATGTATCAGCATGAGGTATACAGGAAATTCTAATTGATTATAATGTATGTTTTTGTTAAATAAATAGATTATGAGTTACAACCAACAAAACAGCTATTTCATGTGAAATAAGCAAAGAGTCAACTTGCTCTAACTCCTCACCCATTCGTCCTACACCAAAATGTTATGCATAAAATTTATAGAACATTTCTTCTTCTTTAACTTTGCATGGAATAATAATTTTGATAAAATGCATAATTTAGAAGTCATGCCAAAAACTAAAAGAAAGTGAAAATTTCAGTTTTTTGCATATATCTCGGAACACAGTGGAAAATTTCTTTTGGGAACTTCAAATCAAGATCCAGCATCCCAAAAAGCACAAAAAACGAAGAAAAACAGACTATTTGAGATTTTTCCACATCTGACTACCATTATTCTATTTTATATTTCATGGATCATACCAGACTGAAGAAGAACGAGAAATGTTTTCGTGTGGTCCATGCTGGTCGATTGATGACAAAAAAAAAGATTAAAATTTCAGTTCCTGTTAAGGGCTAGGGGCTAGGCAAATGCTCGGATATTATTAAAAATGGATTAAAAAAGTAATGAAGGATTTAAAGCATAGTAGATTTTATGTTATAATAATTTATGTGGCTGAAGGCTTAAATGGTTCATGGACTGTGAATTATTGAGGATCTAATAAACGACATCATTACATTAAATATTTTTATTTAATCTAAAAACAAATTTTATGACAAATGAATTAAAATTTAAAAAATAAATTACTATTGTTATGGTTTCTTGATACAGTCTAGTCTCTCTTGTAAATCTGATCTCACTTAATCTTGGTTCTGATACTGATACTTCAAATACTCTTCATATAAGTTTATACTGGCCTTACTCCTGTGGACTTGTTCTCTCGAGAGTGTTCAAGAACAGAAGACTGCATCTTAGCCAACGACCAGAAGAAATCAGGTGAGACGAGATGAGAGTGGAGGTTACGTCCTTCCCTCCACTAGTTATAACTTCAACGTTTATTTTTGAATTTAATATGTGATATTTTATGGCAAGTTAATTAATAACCTGTATGTTGGAGACTCATGGTTTTATAGTTTCAATTTTTCCATTTATGACATAATTACCTTATGTCTCTTTTCTAGCTTATTTTAGTAAAAAATATATCAAAAAACCAAATGTATTTTCATTACTAGTCAATAGTTAAAATTGTTAGTTATAAGAAATAATCAAGCTATTGTATACATGTTAACTTGGCTGTTGTATTTATTCAATGGTTTGTACTTAAAAGCACATCTGGAAAGTCCTCTCAGTTATAAGAAATAATCTAGCTATTGTATACATGTTAACATGGCTGTTGTATTTATTCAATGGTTTGTACTTAACAGCACATCTGAAAAGATCTCTCCTGATGCTCTCACCTACCTACTTACCTAGGTACCAGTACTTGAACACCTTCAGTGCTGTTAATATTAAATATTACTTATATTATTGGTAATATATAAATATACTTTCTTTTATAGTTTGTATAGCTTATTACGTATTCCATTTGTCTATCTCATCATCTATTCACATCATTCTAAATTGGTTATTTTATTATTATTCATATATCATTATTTACTATTATCTGTTATAAGTAATAATGTTATAAATTTTCTAGTCCTGATGACCCACAAGCTTAGGTTGAAATGTTGGAAATAAAAATCTTAAAAACTGACTGCGTCCTGATTATCTATCGCCTATGATATATAGAACAGTCGACAAACTTCCTTCAATAATTCATCTGTACAGTTTCACGAGTTTTCAAACTGCTAATTAAAGGCTTTTTGCTATATTATTCCATATAAAATTCTCATATGTTTTTGTTGATTTAGTAAATTCCCTTTTCTATTTTAAATATTTTTTTTTGTTTTTGTTTATGTTAAACAGTAATGTGACCTAAAATATTCTCTACACTCAGTTCCTGTTGGGGGATAGCCACATTATTTATGTTTTAGTTTACATAGTAGCTGAAGAGATTCACAATACTATACCAATGCTTTTCATGTTTTTTGGGTTTTGTAGTCATAAAAATCCTTGCCATAAAAAATATTCAACTTTTTTTCTTTTATTTTAGGTATAATTTAAAAGGCTCTAATGCTGGAAAAGTAGAGGTTTTCACTTATTTACCTGGATTTCCTGACAATGTTGATTATATTGATGGGCACTTTATTGTTTCCATTGTCGCCAGGCCTGATAAATATTTTAAAACTTTATATGAATGGCCAATAGTTAGAAAATTTATAGCTCGTTCAATGTCGTTGGTTGAATATATTATAGAAATATTGGACAGCCTTTATCCAAGTATTTATCTTAAGAAAATAAATCATTGGGTGAGTACTTTTAAATTATTTATTTGACTTTTCAGTTCTCTAATTAAAATTAGCTATTTATTTAACTTCTTAGTTAAATAAATAAATAGCCATTCTTTTTAGAAGTATATAAATAATAAACCTACAGTTTTTGTTTTTTTATGAACCTCTTATGTTTTATTTCTATTTAAAATATTTTTCTCATTTTTATAGTTACATATTTACTGTGTTCTATCTTGTTAAACCTTAGTTTATTTATACTTACAATTGTGTCTGGAATATACAATATTTTTTTTAATTGAGAGATCAGTTTTAGAATCACATTTGACTTCTGCTATATCACTCTTATGGTCTCTTCTCATTATAGTTCATAAGAAGTATTAATATTTAACATGTCTTTAATTTTCATTTAACTTAATTTTAATATTGAATTTTCATTCCTTATAAATATAAATACAAGTATAAACATTTTTTCTCTTGATATAAGATACTAATGTTAATTATATTTCACCAAGAGGACGTTGAGAGACTTGTTAAGGCTCTGATTAGAGAAGCAGAGAAAATCAGTCTAAAAGTAACTGAAAATAAAACAAAACATGTTCCAAATCCATCCAAACAACAGGATACATGTGGATGATGAACTTTTTCCTACATTCAATAGATTGTAATATCCCTACTCCACTATAACCTCAGTATATGACTAATTATCAGTGTACGACAAGTGCAAACTGAACTTTCTTCTCTTTTAAGGACACTGAAATAATAAAAAATCTCTAGAAATCTCAAATTAAGGGTTCTGATGTATGGCTTCAAGAACTGGACTCTAACCATTACCAGAATGGTTGGATCAGGCACCTTTGAGAGCTGCAAACGACCATACAATAATATCTATGTCATCAGCATAATCTAACAGTTGCATCATATTTGTAAATATCGCACTCCTAGTCTGAATGCCAGAGTCTCTCACCACCTTTTCCTGAGCCTAATCTCTTTCTTTAAATCTTTAAATCCAAGGGTAGCCTCTGCTGCCTTGGTTATAACTGTTTCCAGACCATTCCATGTATCCTGAATATCATCCAAATTGATCTTGCTTAGTGCTTCGTTCATTCTTTCCTCTAGTCATTTTTGAAAGAAAATTAGTGTATCAGCTTATTTTAATTTCATTGTATTCCACTTCTTTTGTGCAGTTGATTTTCATATCTTTGCACTAAAGATTCTCACTCTAATCCGAGCAATGATCAAATAGTGATCAGAATGTATGTTGCGCCTCTATATACTCTATTGCTTAATGGATTAGACCTATGTTGTGCACTATAGAGCATCAAATAAACAAAACAAATTTGTTTGATAAATTGCCCAGTACAAGAAATTATTTTTTTTTTAGTTTCTTGAAGGTATCCAAAAAATTATGTATTCCGCTTGGTTATGTATTATTTAATTATATATTCAACATTTTGGGGATCTGTCAGAGCTGCATCAGAGCCATGAAATGTTGAATATGTAAGCAATATATACAAGTAATAAAATATTTATCCCAGGAGGAAGATTTAATTTTCAGCATACCTTCAAAAAACTAAAAAAAAATTAATAAAGTTCTGAAGAACTGATTGATGACAGGTTGGTTGTTAGTACTTCAACATTTTCAAAACACTAATAATGTAAAAAGGGTTACCCTCTGCATAAAAAAATTAAATTTTAAAAATTTTCCTTGTCCCTTTTGATATTTTGTTTTTTAAACTGGCTTTGTTCTTGAATACAATACAAAAAAAACTCATTTTCTACTGAGAAACCAAGGTGTGGAAAAAGCAACTCCCACATTACTGGTACCAACCTCTCCATTTCTCTCATGCTCGATCAATTATTACTATTGTTTAGGGAACACATCAAAATTCATATTTAAATTTAATTTGAATTAAATCAAGAAACCACATCACAGCTGTTATCTCGAACATACTGCATATATACCTCAGTTGTTATTGTGACGCCGCCATTGTTGAAGCGTAGACGCTCACGTACCGTGAGAGATTGACTAGACTGGCCAGTTGAAAAATTTGTGATTCCACTGATTTACTGAACATGGAGTAAAAAACTACAGCGGCCGGCAAGGGGCCAAGAAAGGAAGAGAGAGAAGATGAACAAGAAGACTGGCAACTAGAAGAAAAGAGAAAATGCAAGTATCCCAACCCACCTATATTTAACCTCCGTATAAAATTATATGTAATAAAATATGGCAATCAATTTTAAATATTCACTTCTTTAATCCATTAGCTTCTCTAATTTTACAGTCCACAGCAATAAATTATCACCAGCTCTTAAAGCAGAATTATTATGACAATATCCCTGACAGTCTTGGTAGGGATTGGCGAAGTAAATTAAACAACTATTATTTCAAGTATTACTAACACTTACTTGAAAGTTGTAGTTGTAATTCACCATTTATTTAGTGTTTAATGAAGTGATTCGTAATTTTCAACAATAGTCGGTATAATTTAGTCTTTAGTTTCCTTGGAAATAATGGAAATGCTTTTGGAAGATTCAAGCATAAGGAAAGAAAAGTCAAGACCTACCAAATCCATAAAAATAAACAATTATAACCTTAAAACTGAAGGTATTAAAGATAAATCTTTTGGTAAAACAAGGGGTACTAGTTCCTTTTTGCTACTCTCCATGTTGGTTGCTGACAGGTTATATTATATTATTACACTATTGTGGAGGGGTAGTCTTGTCAGCTCTTGTCCCCTCTCCCCTCCACCTTACCTTCATTTTAACTAAATATCAATATTATATGGTTTAAGTTACATATTACCTGTTTTTTAAAGTTATCCTTGTTTTCCCACTGTAATTGCTAAATTCTTTACACACAACTACATTTATTATTATTTTTTTATGTTAAATAGAGAAATTTACATGAAAAATCTGAAAAAAAAAATGAGAAAAATCGGTAAATGTACAGGAATTTTTTGGAGGAGAATCACTGGACACCCTATGAATCTCAACTCTATTCTAAAGCAAACCTTAACTAAATTGATGTATAATTAAAACTTATTAAGCAAGAAAATTTTTATTAAAGTGGGGTATCTGTAAAATGATAGAAAAGCACCACGAATAATCCATGATTTAATAAAAAACACAACTTAGCGTAGTTCGGCCGCTCAAAAGTCCCCTTTAAATAGTTTTGGCAAAGAGAAACTCAGTTTGGCTATTAAGAATTAAGACACCCTGTATATAAAATATATTTCATAGATATACATATATAGATTTTAGAAAAGCAAGCTGAAAAATCAAAGAGAGTAGATATGATCTTTATAGATCTTGAAAAAACCATGCGATGGTGTCCCATGGAAATTACTTTGGAAAGCTCTTAAAAGAGCTGAAATTGGCGCTGATTTAGTGACATTAGTGAAGAAAATATATAGAGAGAATGAATGCAAAGTAAAAATTGGCTCCTTCATATCATGAGAGTTTAGAAATAATAAAGGCCTTCTTCAGAGATGCTGCCTATGATTTCCTACTTAATATAATTTCCCTACCTTATTTAGGATATATATATATCGATAATTTCTTGAGCAATTGGCCAAAAAAATATGGCAAAATGGGCATTCCAATGAATGACAAACATTTATGTCACCTACTATTCACTGATGACTAAACGATAATGGAGCAGAATGAATTTGATATCAGGTATATGTTAGAAAATTAACTGAACAGTGTGAACAATGGGGCCCTGAATATTAATTATTATAAAACAAAATACATGTCGAAAGAGAACGATGTGTTGAGTGACCCAGTCTTGACAGAGCTTAGAAGGGTATACCAATTTTGCTGCCTTGGCTCAACACTTGAAAGCAATGGAAGAGCATGGAAGTATATTGAAAAAAAAATTAACAAACGGGCGGAAAGCCATTGGTAAGTTCAATTTAGTTCTGTGGAGCGAAAATATTTATACTAAAGTAAAGAAATTAATATATAAGGCCCTGGTATAGAGTGTAATGCTCTACAGTTTGGAAATGCGACCACTTGACAAATCACAGAGCAAAAGATTTCTAGCTGTGGAGATGGATTTTTGAAGGAGGTCGGCTAAAGTTTCAAGGATACAAAGAATCAGAAACGAGACCATTAGAGAAAGGATGGAGGTTAAGAAAAATATACTAGAAATAATGGAAGAAAGAAGATTACAGTGGTATGGGCATATGAAAAGGATAAATAGCGAATGACTCCCCAAAACGGCATTTAAGTGGGAGGCTGAGGGAAGGAGAAGGAGAGGAAGGCCTCATGTCAGGTGGAGAGATGTTGTGGTTGAGAGTATGACAGGCCTAGAGCTGATGGTGGAGAAAGTGATAGGTGGGGAGAAAAGTGGAAGAACCAACTGAGGGAGGAATTTGACTAAGGAAAACTTCAATTTATGAAGAAAACACGCTTGAATAAAAAATAAAAAGATATACATATTTCTTTATTTAACCATTATATATATATTTTTTTATTTAACCCCTTTTCTTCCTATTGCCTGCATTAGAAAGGAGAGCAACCCACTTGTTGTTACAATGATACCATTATAATTTTTTTCTTCTTAAGTTTGGGGCATCCCCACTAATTCATGATGAACAAAGTACATTTTCTCATCATTTTATTTTATTTTTTTTTTAGATTGGGCATTTTGAATCTCTTCATTCAATTTCTACTCCAGCTGGGGCTATTGTACTCTTCATTGATAACACAGGACGTATAGTTCAAACATTGTCCACAACTGATAATAATATTAGTGGCATTAGTTCTATGATACCTTTCCAAGGATATTATTATCTTGGTTCTCCATTCAATCCATATCTTGGTAGAGTTAAAGCTATTTAAAAAATTGTTATAACATATAAAGCGATTCAAATGAAGTAGTGATTAGTATATATAATTGTTACAAACTTTTTTATAAACAGCTAATAAATTTAAATTTTACTTTATAATAAAAATTTATTCAATTGTTTAGTTTTTTATGGACCCCTATTGGCATGCCTAAGGAATCCTCTTCTTGCAAGTATATAAGCCAGCTTTTATGTAGAACAAAACCAGTATTAGCAATATTATTCTTTTAGTTTTTAAACCTTAACTAGGCAAGAAGAGATTCAACTTATTAATTTTCTGTTATTTGCTATTTTCTTCTATATGTACCTAAAATAAACAGGTATTAAAAAAAAAAATTATTCATGATTTATCAATTTTTTTAAAAGGAAGGTATCATATATGATACCTTGCCCTATAAGCTGGTGTAAAGATATAATTTATCTATATTTCATTTACTCCCCTTGATAAAAAAGGTATCACAGTTGGTACTTTTTCATTTTATAAAAAAAAGAAATGTCAATGAACGCTGCGACATGTGTCCAATATTTTCAATATTGGTGTTCAATATTTTTTTTAAAAATATTAACCACTAACAAGCCTCACTTTGTCAGGCCAAGAATTTTGTTAAGTGGACTACAAAATTATTTAGTTTCTCAAGTGGAAAAGCATAATGGCATTGTTTGAAAAATGATTAAATTAGCCTAATCAAAAGAATTGAAAAAATAAGTGCTTAAGTTGAGTGTGGCAGCTACGGCGCCTTTAATTTCATGCGTTTTAACAGACTCTTACCTTCTCACATTTTCATGTTTCAACATGAGATATATAAGAAATTCAAATTGATTATAATGAATTTTTTCATGAAATAAATAGATTAAGAGTTTCAGAGAGAAAACTGATGAAAAAAGCTGTTTCAGTACTTACTGTTATATAGTAAACTTACTCTAACTCCTCACCCATTGGCCCTACATCAAAAAACTATACATGAAGTATATAATAGATTTTATCTTCTTTTTAAAAATTGTAAAAGTGGAGAAATCGTTGACTGTAGATTCTTTTAGTAAGAAAAGTTGGTGGGGATTGCAGTTAGTGAATTACATATAAATTTAAAATTATTTCCAATTAAATATTTTTTAGCGTACTTGACTGACTGACAACCAACTTCTTTTACTATAAAAATTGTAGTTTGGTTTTTCCTTGGTTCCTAGGTTTTAAATTTATCTTCAATTGAAATCTCAAAAAAATATGGTTGCTTCCAAAAATTCATAGCCCCGTAAAAATGTGCTGGAAGCTGTCCAAATACTAAAAATATCAAGATGTGATTATTTAAAGATATATGTTTCTTTTCTTATATTATATATTAAACTAGATTTTTATCTTATGAAAAGTTTTTATTTATTTTTAGACATTTCTTTTTTTTTTCTTTTATATAAGTAGACATAAAAACTTTTACCTGAAAAGTTTAAAAAACGTCTGCCTACCCTAGGTGGTCGAATTCATTAGGCAGACAAGAATTTACCAACTAGAAAATTAAGAAGTTAATGGTTTGAGTTTACCAGTTAACAACATGGACAGATAAAATTATTTATGAACACCAAATCCAACTATCAAATGATTTTATTTTGAACAATATTTTTTTGTATTGGTATAAAATTATTGCACAATAGCTTCTAAAAACTTTTTTAAATTATTACCTTTACCTAGTTTGCAAGAAAATATAATTATATACAATAGTAGATAGATATAGTTTGGAATATCTCAATTAGTGAAGTGGCAAAATAGTCTGAGCTGTGATTCTATCATAGTGATAAGGCCAGAGCTGGTAGCGGCTGTAACCGACATTCCGGAATCACAGCCTCAAGAACTGCATTCCATCACTACTCCAACTGTGACAGGTGCTCCGAGAATAGAGCTCTATCAATACAACTTCTAAGGACTCCAATTATTATCCAATTGACATAATTGTTAACTTATTACTTTTACTCTTGCATTTATTCTATGATATTGAATTTTGGAATTTCAGGGAAAATATAATAGAGAAAATAATAATTCATTTGCTGTCACATTGTTTCGATACTGCTATTATGTTTTATAGCTCTGAAATCAGCCCATCAAGTAGGACTAAGCATAAGCATAAATTAAAATATAATAAGTATACTGTATTGTATTTTATTTTATTATCACATCCACGACCATTATCTTCTATATTTTTTATTTACTTCACCTGTAACCTCTTTCTACTCCACTCCCCCTTCTCTCATTTGAAAAATATTAAGTAATACATGAATAAAATCTTATTATTGTAACATTATTAAATAACAAAGTGTATTAATTAAAAGGGATTATCATGTTATTAATAAGAAAAGTTCATATATAGTTTTTACTTTAATTCTTGAGATAATACAAATCCGCCAAACATTATAATGAGTGTAGAAATAAAACCAAAACAGTTAACAGTTCTAGACACAAAAGATAATTCAAATCAATTATTAACGATAACAATCATTAACAAAAGTTATGCTTGAAATTAAACATAATGTTTTATAATGGCAATTTACTAATAACTACTTCACATTTTGATTTTGGTTGTCATTTTAAATATTATATATATTTCAAAATTAATACTAATTTAGCTCTGCTAAAAGTCAAACTTGTTTTGAAAAAGTAAGAATTATTAAGTCAGTAATTTCCTTAAAATGTTATTATTTTTTCACTGGGTCATTTCCAAAAAGAAATTTGAAGAAGAAAAAATTATAAGTGAAATAATCATCCAATTAAATAAATATAATAGAGAAATAATTTTAGACTATTACTGATTATTTTTTAAAACATGTACTGCTTAAAAATAAATTATGTGCTAATACATTGACTTGTTAGCCTTTCTTCTTTACAAAAACAGGTATCTACGTGACAGATGTATTTGAAAATATAATATATATGGTTGAAAATAAAACAATAGATTAATTTTTTGACAGGAAAAAAAAAATATTGAAAAATTTCAGCACAAGAAAAGAGCTGGATAGAGATATTCTACTGGAAATCTAAATGAAATAAAATAAAAAAAAAGTTATAAGAAGTAACCAAATAAAATCCTTGCTGATATTTAAGCAATTATAACAATAAATAATACTTCATATTGCATAATATATATAACATACAACGAACTGAACTCTTGTAAGTTCTTTGTCTTTAATTTGATTTTAGCTTCACAAACACATTTATTTACTCCAACAATTATGAAGTACTGGTCATACTCCTTATTCACCTTCTTTGTCCTTCCTTCTGATGGCACACAATAGACCATGAAGTAACACAATTCCACCAGTTTCTTTGTCTTAAAAAAAAAATTATCTACATTAATTATTTACCAAACTTTTAAAATATCCAATATGGTTGAATGTCAAGAAATATAAATTTATAAGGATAACTAAATCATAAATTTATGCAATTTAATTACATTATTTAATCCACTTAATCAATAACAAGTGTTTAGATTAAGTTTTTATGAAAGCAGATATGCAAAGAAATATTGCTACCTTGCTTATATGATTACCAATAAAAAAAACAAATAAAGAAAAAATAACTTGCAACTTTAGTAGTGGTGATCTGTGATATTTCAAAAGAGCCTAGCATGTGACCAGAAAACAATTCCATGAATGTAGTGATCTGACAGATCACCACAACTAATGAAGGGTCAAGAAAATGAACTAAAAGGCTTTATAAAACCCCCCAAAAAAGGTTGGCCAAACAAGAATCAGATATCCTATAGGCAGTGCTTCCACTGTCTTATAAATTTAAAAAATGAAAACAGAAAAGATAGAACAACCCCTCTCCCCCTGTATGTCAAAAATGGTGGGTAGAGGATAATCCAATAAAAAAAAAGTGGGAGGGTAGAGATTCATTTCCTGGGGCCACCAAGAAAAATATTAACTGAGCCAGGTGGGAATCGAACCCACATCATTCTGGTTTTCTGGAACCCATGCACAATGTGCTCGGTCATCACATCCTCATTTCTGAAACTACTTTGAAAAAAAATGTTCACCTACTTTGGAATGCTCAAATGGCATTATAACCATCTCTGACAGTATTTATATGGAATTCGAGTCATGGGATATCTTAATGCCTTCACGAAGATATTTTAAACCTTAACGAATTTCTGACTGTTGAGAATATTAGAAACGCAATTGTTCATCCCAAGAACGTTTATTTGAAAATATGAAAGCTTTGAGCTATTAAAAGACAGCATTGGTAAATTCCATTACCTTGGGTAAGGAAAAAAGTTTTAAAAGGTAAGCTTTTTGAAAAATATTATAAACAATTAGCTGCTGATTGGTTTTGTTGGCACTGAACAGTTTCAACTTGGAGGTTTGGCATGGTCTTTCACAAAATGCATGTTATTCACCATGAAGTGGGATTGGTCTATAATTATACATCAAAACTAAAATATTGCTCTAAATATGAATTCATTAATTAATAAGGAATGAACAAGGAAATCATTTAATCTGGTAATGATCTAAGTTCAAAATATCCAATACAATCCGAATGGGTAATTTTTATTCTGAGAAGTTTGAAATCCCAACAGGTTTAACACAAGGCTATTCCCTTTCCACTTTTTTTTTTAATTTAACACTGAATAATTAATTAGAAAAGTGATTGCACTAAGAAAGATTTAACTCTGGTACTTGTTCATGCTGATCATCTAGTAATATTATGTGAAGATATGAAATTATATATAACAATGTTAATGAACACAGGTTAAGAATTAGGCATTGCAAAAAAAAAACCAGATAAAGTTAAACTATAATTATATGCAGTAATGTTGTTTTGGTAATGTAGGCATAATGGGAATGCATTTTTATATATGAAAAGAAATTAAGTACATGAGGTCTACAATAGTAGATGTAAAATAGAAATATAAGCAGTAGGATCATGTTATCTGACCTTTTATTGGTTTTAGCTTTTGACAGGATTCAACGAGGAGGTAGGCAGGCAATGATTATTGGAGGTTTGGCATCAAGCCTTTGGGTTCGCTATTATTTACTCATATTTTATTAATAACACCTCAAAACCAAAAAAATCATGTAGTATAAAAGAAATAATGGAATAAGTAAAATCATTTAATTTATAGAATTTTTCTTTTTTTAGGACTTGAGATTAAAGAACTAAAGGTTAATGGAAATTATTGTCAAATCATTTTGTGGTTTGGAGGTAAAGGAATAATAAAAAGTAGTCAATAACAACAAATGCTTATCACAATGGATTATTATGAATAGTAGACTGTACCTAGGTAAACCAGGAGCTGTCTCATATGAAGAAAATTTTTTAAAGCGTAGGCAAAATACTCTTACCATGGATAGCACAAGATTTGAAAGGTATCAGCTATCAAGAGGATCTGAATTTATACGTCAGTTACTACTACACTTTAGTGAATAGGGATATACATATGGGATTATAAAAAGAAGAAGATTTGAAATTGTGTTCTGAAGCATGATCAGTTGAATGAATATTGAAGTGTAATACACAATTAAAATTATCCAATTATTAGCTAATAGTTTCATTTAATTAATGTTTCACTATCTTCAGTAAAATTTTGAGGCAAGATGATTTTTGAATTTCATCTGCCAGTGAAATGTGGCTGTTTCTGGTTAGCAGAAATCATTTTTTTCTAGGTTTCTGAGGGATTAGTTTTAAATAAAGGTACCATCCATCTTCAAGTAAGTCGGACTTAGATGAAAAAAAAAGTGTTTTTTTATTTGTGTATGCTGACCTATACAACCACTTCAGGTCAGCAGACCTCATTTTTTATTCCTCGGTAGATTACCTTTAATTTAGATAAGATTCCAAGCATTTTCAAATAAGTGAGCGATAAAATTTGTTTTCAACGTACTTCTGCCGAATGGATACGACCATTTCCAGTCAGCAGACTTTGTTTTTTAAGACCTCTGGGTGAACTACTTTTGTTTAGAAAAGGATCTTTAAACAAGTCAATTGTTTACATAATATAACGATTTTGAGAACCTATAAAATTTTGTGACAATCTAAGGTGCCAGAAGTTCATATTTGCAATCTATGGTGAAATTACCTTCAGTTAACACAGTGAAAAACTTTCTTCAAATCATATAGATTTTTTGGCCTCAGCTCCCTGTCTAAGAATGGTAGAAGTATGTCATTATTTTTCAATTAAACCATTTTATTTAAAATGAAAATATAACATTTTTCCTCTGATTATAAATATATGTAAATAATTATAAATTATAAATTTAGTTACGTAAAATTATACTTACATTTGCTGGCTTGAATTATTAATCTTCTCACATAGCATCACAAACATTGTCCATAGTTTCATTAGTAGGAGTTGTTATGTCAATGAGATCTTAAAAATAAATTATATTTTTATTACCTTCAACAAATAATAAAAAAATAAAAAATTAATATATTTCTGATGTTTGTTTTTTAAAAAGTACATATAGAGTTATCTAATAATACAAGAGCTACCATTGTAGCAAAAAAAAAAAATTCAGGTATACTAATTTTTTTATATCCCACAACTTTCATTGCCTCAGTAAACATGCAGACAACCTGACTGGTGGGAGAGGTTGGTTACATGAATCTAATAATCATACAGGCAAGAATCATATTTTTTAAAATGATTTAAGATTAGTTGTTTTTTTAGAAAGTTTTTATCAGCAGTTACAGTTCTTTATCAATAAATACAAATTTATTATTTCTCTACAGTTTCACCATTGGTAATAAATACCATACCAGATACTATTTTGTAGTTGTAAAAAATTTTTAAAGAATTTAGTATAGCTAAAATTTAGATATGATGTAATTCAGCTATCAAAGGGTGTACAATTAATTTACCAGATAAAAATTTATACATTTAATTAAGAGTTATATCAAGTTAAGTTTAGTAAAGAGTAAGCATACCATAGTTCAGAAAACCATATACTTGGATTTGGATTAACAATAAAAATTCAAATTTCTAACCTTGGCAAGCTATGGAGAACAATATTTATAAACTAATTTTATCTTAAATTTGAAATCTAATAAAGCTCCTATCCTAAGGTTTGCATTTCCGCATTTCCTCTGCTGTTATGCGACTATAATGTTTGTCCAACTTTCTCTGCCATAGGTGAGAATAGGAAGGTATACAGACTTATAGACGTGCATCTTGGTATTTTTATCCACTTCACGGCAGCTGAGGATACTGCTAGCGATCTGGTGATATACTTGATTCGCCTTAGATAATCTATACAAAATCTCAGCATCTATCTTACCAGCGTTAGTAATTATGGTACCTAAGTATGTGTACTCCTCTACTACCTCGAGAATCTCTCCATTGCAAACCAATTGGACGTCTTCCTCTTCTTCTCTCGCCATAATCATCACTTTACTTTTGGAGGCAGGTATTTGCATACCTTACCTCAGCAGCTCTTCTTCTCATTCTACCTGTGCTTCCTGTAGTTTCATCTTGGAATCGGCGATGAGCACAATGACATCTGCATACAAAAAGCTCTGCACGAGGACAGTTTTCATATTCCAGTTTCCAATTGTAGTGCATGCAGTCCGACGCTTGCAGATTTTATGGATCTCGTCCATAAAGTTTATAAACAGGAGGGGGCTTAAACTATCTCCCTGTCTGACTCCTCTCGCAATTGGGAAAGGTTCTGACTCGGTGCCATTTATCCTTAGCACTCCAGTGGCCCCCTGGTAGGTTGATTTCACGGCCTCAATCAAATCTCCAGGCACGCCCTTGGCAACCAAAGCGTTCCAAATTTCTTTCCTAGGAACTGAGTCAAACGCTGCCCTTAGATCAAGAAATTCTAGGTACAGGTTTTTGTTTCTGTCCCAGGCCTTTTCAGCGATGGTTCTAAGAACAAAGATATAGTCCTGAGTCTGCCGGCCAGGACGGAAACCAGCCTGTTCACCTTCCAGCTGTACCTCCACAATCCGCCGGAGCCTCCTTTCTAATATAGAGGTATATAATTTATAGACCACAGAGAGCAGACTGATGGGTCTATATTTATTGCAGACCATTGAATTGCCTTTTTTATGAATTGGAAGGATTATGCTATATTCCCAATCCTTGGGAATTTTCTGTCTATCATATACTTCCTGAAAGAGCCTTTGAAGGACTTTAAAGAGTTCATTTCCACCATATTTCAAACATTCTGGGGCGATACCATCCCTTCCTGGTGCCTTTCGTGCTTTTAGAGTCTGGATTGCCTCTTCTATTTCTTCTTCTTCTATTACCTCTAGGCTTTCTAGAGTAGAGTGCTCTCATTCTTGGCAGTGACAGCTGGCATTGGATTTATAGTTAATCCGACCGCAAGGAAGTCTGTAATAAACTTCACCCCAGTTAATGAAAGGATAAGTGTGCTGCGCGTAAGAGGTCGTTGGTTTAATATCACGATTATTAACGTGTATGCAGCAACCGAAGATAAAGAAGATGAGGTGAAGGACGATTTCTAGAAATCGTCAGTTAGAAAAAGATCAGTTAGAAAAAGTTGTGGACCAGGCTCCAAAACATGACATAATATTAGTCATGGGAGACTTCAATGCCAAGATAGGTCGAGAAACCCAATTTAAGGCCATCATCAACAAGGCTAAAGTCTCTACGAAACTAGCAATGACAATGGTGTGAGATGCATTAGTCTGGCAGCAGCTAAAGGTCTAGTAGTAAGCAGTACGATGTTCCTTCACAAGGACATACATAAGTATACCTGGGTAAGTCCTAAAGGAGCAAAAAGCCAAATCGACCATTTGCTGATAGACAAGAGGCATCAAAGCTCCATACAAGACATAAGGAGTTATCGTGGAGCAGACTGTGATTCGGACCACACTCTGATTAGAATCAAACTCTGTCAGAGGCTGAAGCGAATCCACCGAATTGGGAACCAATTGGAAAGACAGAGGTACGAAGTCCGTAATCTGAAAAACCCTATAGTACATACAAGCTGAATTTCAAACCGAGCTGAAAAATAAATTCGAATCCTTGAACTCGGAAGGTCTCACGGTTGACCAACACTGGGAGGCACTAGAGTCAGGGCTAAAACAAACAGCTAAGGAAGTAATAGGGATTCAGGAAAAAAGAAAAGCCAAGAAATGGTTCACAGAAGCATGCGAAAAGGCAGTGGAGGAAAGAAGAAAAGTCCTCTGCTTACAAACTGATCAAGCTATGTTGGACAAATACACAGCCGCCAGGAAAAAGACAAACAAAATAATAAGAACAGCCAAAAGAGAATTAATCAAAGAAAGATTACAAACTATTGAGGAAAACTGGCAGGCTGGAAATATAATTGAATTCTTAACAGATATCAGGAAAGAAAAGGTAGGATATAAAGCGAGAAATACACAAACGCGAGGGAAAGATGGCAAATTGACGGCATCAAAAGAAAAGATCCTAAGCATCTGGAAGGAACACTTCCAGCAGCTGACTAACCAAGGGCACCCCACAAACGAAGAAGACATGGACCACACTGAGGACATCGACCCACTTGAGGTTGAAAAACCAGATATTCTGGATGTTGAAATAGCTATCGGTAGGCTTAAAAGAAGAAAAGCTCCAGGACTAGACAGCCTACCATCAGAATTGTTCAAGGATGGGGGAGAAGAAACGGATACCAGAAACATGGAACACAGGATTGATCTGTCCTATCCTTAAGAAGGGCTCCATGTATGAATGTGGCAATTATAGAGGCATAGCACTTCTTCCGGTCGCCTATAAAATAATAACTAATATTCTGTTAAATCGGATATATCCTTATTATGAAAACATAATAGGCGACCGTCAAACAGGATTCAGGAGAGGGAGGAGTACGCTAGATCAGATATTCATCCTGAAACAAGTACTTGAAAAACGATGGGAAGTAGATCAGGACGTACACGCATTATTTGTCGACTTCAAATCAGCCTAAGACTCCGTTGACAGAAACTGTCTCTGGAAGATCATGACTGAGCTGGGTGTTCCTAGGAAATTAGTGAGGTTGACGAAGGTGTGTACAAATGATCCTAAATGCAGAGTACTAATACAAGGAGACGTATCTGAAGCCTTTGAAGTTCGAACGGGTTTGAGGCAGGGAGATGGACTCTCGCCGATGCTGTTCAACTTAGCACTAGAGAAAGTAATAAGAATATCATTACGCGAAGATGGAGGGGTGCACGTTGGAATGAAACATAAAATCCTAGCATATGCAGATGATATAGCTGTCCTCGGAAGTAATCAAGAGGATATTGAGAGACTCGCTCGGACTCTGTTAAAAGAAGCAGAGCAAATCGGACTACAGGTCAATGTAGATAAAACAAAATACATGATAGTTAGCCGAAACATCCACCCTAATAACATGATCTGCGTGGATTCTAAGTCATTCCCGAAAGTAGACAGATTCAAATACCTCGGCTCCACAATAACCTCAATAAATTATCAACTAACAGAGATAGACCAGCGAATAACAAGTGCGAACAGATCTTTCTTCTCTCTTTCAAAGGTACTTAAATCCAGAAAAATCTACAGAAATCTCAAAATAAGGGTGTACAACACCGTGATTAAGCCAGTTCTGCTGTACAGTTGTGAAACCTGGGTTCTAACTGGCACATTAGAAGCCAGAATTGAGAGATTTGAAAGAAAAGTTCTACGTAGGATAACAGGACCTATATGGGACCAGAACCTTGACACATGGAGGAGAAGGAACAATAAAGAACTGTTGAATAAATCTGGTCAGTCAATATCTCATGACATGAAGGCAAGGAGATTAAGATGGGCAGGGCATGTAGCTTGTAGTAATCCATCAGGACGCCTCTACACGACAATGAATGCCAGAGTAGTAGGCAAGAGACCACGTGGGAGGCCAAAAACCAGATAGATAGATAGGATAAACAAAGATACAGCTGAGCTTCATGCAGCAAACTGGAAAGCAGTAGCCCAAGATAGGCAGAGGTGGAGAAGGCTGGTTCAGGCAGCCAAAGATCTACAAGGTCTGTAGAGCCAACCAAAAAAAAAAATATATATATATATATATATGTATATCTGTGTGTGTATATGCATATATAAATTTTAGTGGTGGCAATAGACAATGGATAGAAGTAGGAACCATATTAATTTGATTTATTATTGTAATTTCATATGTAAGGAGTGGCTCTTCATACTTTATTCTATTGTAATCTATTTTAAATTTTAGCATTTGATGTTAGTATAAAATACATGTAAGATTGTTTTAATTCATTATTTCAGTAATTTTAATGTCTTTTTTTTTTTTTTTTTTTTTTTTTATTTCTTTATGACATTTACAACTGTATTACAGAAATACATCAAGTAAATTTGGACATAATTGATATAATGACATGAATACACTTGCTGAGTAACTACCCAAT